ATAAACGGCCAGTATGATGGCAGTCAGATAAGCCCAGCACCACATACGGAATAACGCCAGCATGATGGCAGCCATCTAAACAGTACCACATCTACTGAAATAAACGCGCAGTATGATGGCAAGGCCAAGCTAACAGGACCAACATACTGAATAACCTCAGTAATGATGGCAGCGCAGCTAACAGCAACGCCACATACGGAAAAAACCCAGCATGATGGCAGCCAGCTAATCAGCAAGCCAGCCATACGGACTAAACCCAGCATGATGGCAGCCAGCCTAACAGCAACCTAAGTGCACATAAGGAATAAACCCAGTAATGATGGCAGCCAGCTAACAGCACGCACATACGGAATGAAACCCAGCAAATGATGGCAGGCCAGCTAACAGCAGCAACATACGGAATAACTACGCCAGCATGATGGCAGCGCAGCTAACAGCACCACATAGGAATAAACCCAGTAATATGGCCGCCAGCTAGACAGCACCACATACGGAATAAACGGCCAGTATGAATGGCAGCCAGCTAACAGGCACCACATACGGAATAAACGCCCAGCATGCATGGCACCAGCTAACAGCAGCCAATACAGAATAAACCGCAGTATGATGGCCAGGCCAGCTAACAGCACCACATACAGAATAGAACGCCAGTATGAATGGCAGCCAGGCCTAACAGCACCAGGCATACAGAATAAACGCCGTATGAATGGCAAGCCAGCTAACAGCAACCTACATAGCAGAATAAAACGCTCAGTATGATGGCAAGCCAGCTAAACGCACGCACATACAGAAATAAGCCGCAGTATGAATGGCAGCCAGCTACAGGCACCAACATACAGAATTAAACGCCAGTATGATGGCAGCCCAGCTAACAACTACCGACATACGGAATAAACCAGTATGATGCAACGCAGCTAACAGCACACATACGGAATAAACGCGGCAGTATGATGGCAGCCAGCTAAACACACCACATAACGTGAATAAACCCAGTATGATGGCAGCCAGCTAAAAGGCACCCACATACGGAATAAACCCAGTATGATTGGCACGCCAGCATAAACCAGCAACACCATACGGAATAAACCCAGCATGATGGCAGCCCAGCTAACGCAACCACATATCGGAATAAAGACGCAGTATGATGGGCAAGCGCAGCTAACCAGCAACCACATACGGAATAAACGCCAGTATGATGGCAGCCAGGCTAAAACAGCACCACATACGGAATAAACAAGCAC